TGTGCGGGGGGAGGGTACACAGTTCAGCCCGTAACTGAGGGGTGCCCACGTTTCTAAGGCAGTCTTCACTTTCACCCACGGCTCATACACACTACCATCTATAAAACACATAGCTAATAAGAACCTACTGTATAACACAGGGAACTCTACTTAATACCCTGTCATGGCCTCTGTGGGAAAAGAATCTAAGAAAGAGTGGATATGGGCATAAGTGGTTCACTCTGCTGCGCCCCAGAAACTAACACAGCCTTGTAAAGCAACTACCGTATACGCCAATAAAAATTTTTAAAAAGGGATTTCCCTGGTGGTACAGTGGACAGGACCCCACCTGCCAATGCGGGAGACGCAGGTTCGATCCTGGGCCCGGGAAGATTCCACTTGCCGTGCAGCAGCTAAGCCTGTACACCACGACCCCTAAGCCCGCCTGCAGCAACTCCGGAAGGCCCCGCGCCTAGAGCCGGTGCTCCGCAGCAAGGGGCACCACCGCACCGAGGAGCCCCCGCACCGCAACCAAGAGCAGCCCCTGCTCACTGCAGTTGGAGAAAGCCCGCGGGAAGCAGCATAGGCCCAGCACAATCAAAAACAGAACGAATAAATACATTATTTAAAAAAAAAAGAAAAAGAAAAAAACCACACTTCACTATGACAAATCAGAGAGAACCCAGGCCTGGCCAGCTGCTCCCCAAGTCTGTCCCTTGCAAGGTGGCTATTTTCTTTGGGAATTCATTCCTGTCTGGGTGCAGCCTTCTCTAGCAGGCTCAAAGTCTAATTTCCATTCCTTCAAGTGATATTTATGGAGCTGGCTCTGCACCAGACATGATTCTGTGGGCACTGTGAAATGGCCCCATCTCTCTTGGGGGTGAACTGGCATGAACCAAGTTCAAAGAAAGTGATAACTAAAAGCCACAATGTCAATTTACTGAATTGCTGTGAGAAATATAGCTGTGGGCTGTGGGCTGACAGGCCAGTACCCTCTCTCCCTCAGGCAGGAGAACCAGACGACCATCAGCCAGACACTCTGGATGGACAGACCTTTTTCCACACCCTGCACTCTCCTGTCCAGAAGGCAGACCTCCAGAAGGTTGACTGTGATGTCACAGATTCACTATATTAGCCAAGAACACAGAGAGTGAGGTAAGCCTGGGTGTTAGGGGGGACTCTGGGTCCAGGCCACTGGAGGCTCCGTCTCCCAGGCCAGGGGTCAGCCTTGGCAGACAACCCGGATGCCGGAGCCAAGACGCCCCCTGCCTGGCCCTAGCCAGATGGCTCTGCCCACCGCTGTCTCCTCCAGACCCTGGCTCACCAGCCCTGCTGGTTACGTGGTCTTTCTCTGAACAGGGTGTGGTTCAATTGGCCAGATTTCCATTGACTGAAATTGCAAACCCACGAACCTGGCTGCCTCTGGGCGACCACTCCCAAATCTCAGAGCACGGGAGTTCTGGGTCTTTCCAAACCCTCCCACCCCTCGTTTCCTCACAGACCTTGGATCCCATCACAGACAGATCCCAGCCAAGGCAGAGAGGTGACTTTTCTAGGCAGCCTCATTTCCAAGGGCAGATGAAGCCCCAAATGTCAAGACCCTCTCCTTTGCTTGGGCCCCTGGGAGAGCTGGAAGATGCTGGGAGTCGCAGAGGACCCTGGCTGGGGAGAGAAGTCATCTTGGAACCAACAAGCATGTCTCTTAAATTGCCTAAAGACACTGCAGGGAGAGACCTGGATTCCCAGGGCCCCGGTTCCGTGTGTGATTTCTTTTCTCACTCTAAATCAGCATTTACTTTCACACCTAAATACATGGCGTGCTTCTCCTTCCTCTCTGAGAGAATCCCTCAGTGGTCTGAGCTTCAGGCCCCCCAAACCTTAGGTCCACTCCTGTTTGCTTCCCTTGAGTCCTCACCTACGACTGGGGGCTGGGGGCTGGGGCGGGGGTGCCCCCTGAGACAGGTAGCTCCACGCCTTCCAGGAAGTGGGTTGTGATGAGTCAGAGAAAGAGCCCGGGTCCTGCAGCCTAGGAGCCTGCAGTGTGTAAAGGACACTGAATCCGAGCCCTGCTCCCACCCCAGGCCCTCCCCCGGGGGGACCCACGGCAGGTGGAATGCCCACTTGGCTGGTCTAGCCTCCTGCTTCCTTCGTGTCATGGAAGGGAGAGACTAAATCTCTCAGTAACATGTTTTCATGTTCCTTTCCAGGGACACATTTTCCAGCTTTGGTTAGGAAAAAAAAAAAAAAGAAACTTTGAAAATTCCCTTAAAAGTTAAATCATGGACTCTGGTGCCTCCCCCTCCGAATCAAAAACATGTATTTTTGCAACCGACAGAAACATCAGACATCTTCCCTCCATCATCTGTCTGTCTGGCTAACACGATTTTCAGGGCAGCCGCTCGCAGGGCGTAATTTCTGTCTCTGCGTGTTTTAGCGAGCCCCGGTTTTGATCCGGGAGTCGCCGTGTGGCTCTGCGTATCTCGTTAGCCGGCCGCTCGTCCCGTCCTCACCTGTGGCCCCCGCCTCCTCCCGGCGCTTTGTTTTCTCATCCGTCGGTTCCCTCCCCGCCCCACCTCCCCGCCAGCCAGTCCATCTGGGACCGTTCAGGCGCCAAGTCCTCCGTTCAGGGTAAAGTCTGTCACACGCGGACGACCGCTGCGGGAGGGGCGGGGGCCAGGGGCCCGTCCCCGCGCGACCGGGAGGAACGGCTCTGGACGCTGCCCGCTTCCCCTTCCCGCCCCCCGGGCCTCCAGCCCTCCCCGCTTTCAGGTCTGCACGCCCTGCACCCCCACAGTCCCTGACCCTCCGCCTCCCGAATACACGCCGCCCAGCCCCCTCTGCGAAGAGCTGCCCCCCGCGCTCGGCAGACACCAGCTCTCCTGCATGATTCATGGGGGGTGCTTGGCCTGGAGTGGGCGCTCCGGGAGCAGATCATGAGCCCACAGAAGCGCTTTGGTTCAGGGAACGTTCTTTCCCTGATGCACATCTGTGCTGCCTGGAAGTGCATTAAAGAGAATCGGATGAGCTGCTGCTTCTAAAATAGGTTCTGAATGTGTAAAGTGCCCGGGGAGGGCGGAGAGTGATGCCAGCTGACGAGGCGCTGGGGCTGCTTTCCGGCTTTGTCCTTGAGGCACAAAGCGTTGTGTGCCCCGCAGTGGCCCTCCTGGGTGACTGCGGGTGGTGGAGCGGGGGAGGCAGGCCTGGCTCAGCACGGGCGGGGGCCCGCAAGGCCTGAGAGCCTCGGCGTTCCCATCTCTCACCAAGCAATGCTCGTCCGGCTCTGTGGGCTGTTTGGGGAACAGAAATGGGGTCTCTTATCCCGGCCTAACTAGGAGAGCCCCCGCCCCCCAACCACAGCCTTCACCAGAGACCCAGCCTGGGCAAAGCAGCCAAGAGACCTAACAGCCTGGCTGGTCCTAGCCCCACCACCCACCCCCTGGGGGCCTTGGGCAAATCACCCAACCTGGAATCGGGAAAAGTATGCCCTCCTAACTGGAAACAACCCCCCCTCCCCCACAAGGTGGTATCCCACCGATTTCTGATCTGCTTTTCTCTGTGCAAACCACTTATTACAGGATATTCAGAGAGACCGCTTGTCCTGGGGACCACACCTACAGAGCTGCTAGCCGAGGAGCTCTGAATCAAGAAGGCATGTGAGGCCAAGACTTGGGCCCGAGGCACATGCGTTAATCATGTGGTGCGTGGCTTCCAGTGGTAAGTGACTGAAATCCCAACCCAAGCTGTCTTGCGAAAAGAGGGGACTTACAGGTGAAAGAAAGGTGAAAGCAGGCATAGCTGTATCCAGGTATAGAAACAATGTCGTCAAAACTCACTGCTGCTGCAGCCCATGACTTTGCTTTCCTCTCTGTTGGCTTCATTCTCAGGCAGGCCTGGTCCTCTTGGTACCTTTGTGGCCTTGCCAGCCCAGCGGAAGATGGTCCCTCTTGTCCAAGGGCTCGGCTGAAGCCTCAGGGCTCGTCACTGTGACCAGGAAGATGGAGTGTATTATGAACCTGGGGATGAGGGGTGTCATCACTACCCAAGCCACAAGAAATGGGGTGGGGGAGGACCCCTAGAGGAAACTTGGGGTCATCAGAGGTCTAGGGACAGCATCCTGGGAAGGAAAATACACCAGCAGACCTGTCCCGCCTCTCTTCTGTGCTGTTTAGACGGATGGAGCCAACAGTTCACGGTTTGGGGTTTGTTCTTCCCGGTGGTCAGGTTAGACGAGGCGGAGTTTATAAGTTTGCCCAGTGGGCGAGGAGGGAAGAGCATCGCGAGCAGCCGTGTAGACATGATCACACTACCGTGAAGTATCTAAGGTGAAGGGGGTTGTGGAGGGCTGAGGAGACGCTGACTAGGAGTCACTGTCTCATGAGGACGGTTTAGTTGTGCGAGAAGAAAACGGCCAGGAGATGGATGGGGTGACGGTTGCACCACAATGTAGACGCACTTAATGCCACTGAACTGTACCCCTAAAGATGGTCAAGACGGTAGATTCTATGTTACGTGTATTTTATCCAAATTTTTAAAAAACTGGGACGCAGGCTGGAAGAAGCCAGGGTCTGCCCGCCGCCGCCCCCACGCCTCCTTTTCCTCCGCCTCTCTGGCTCCTGATGCATGGTCCCTTCCTCCTGGCCCTCGCCACGACTCCACCTTCCACCCAAGGGCTCCAGATCGGGGCTCCAGTAAAGCCACTTCCACCCTCGGCCTCTCCAGTCCCGGGGCTGGTTGCAGCTTCCTGTGTTGCTAATCCCTGAGTTGCCTTATTTCACCTTTTCCCTTCTCCACCCTCTGGTCACCTGAGTAACCAACAAGTTCACTCTTTGTTTTAAAAAAAAAAACAACAGCCAGGAGGTTTCTCTTTTCCTCACTGGGGGTGTCTGTGGCACACCCTAGAGAATGGCTCATGTGCCCGGGGGACGGGGTTGGAGGGGGGCACGGGGCATCCCAGTGGCAACTCCAGCAATTCTGACTGGCTGGGGTGCACTGGGGGCCCAGCAGGTCCGGATGTTTGCTGCCTCTGGGGCAACCTGCTGGACCAAGAATCAAACTCCAGGCCAGTCTGGAGTATCGGGTCCCCAGCAGGTGGGAACACACGAGGCAGACGTTCCATGGGTGCAAAGGAGAAATCAAAGAGAATTCACAAGCGCCCTTCGGACAGTGGTTCTGTAAGTAGCTGCAGTGTTTCATTATTTAATCCTTCTTGCAGCAGAAGCTCTTCAAGGCTGGGCTGGGCCCTCCACCCTCACCCCCACCCTGGCCCTATTGTGCCCTGGGCTGGTCGTGGGGACTCCCTGGGAGAGTGTCCCATGACCCCTCAAACCCTCCTACTTCTCCTCAGATTGGCCCCTGCTTCAAGATCTGCAGTCCTGAGCTCATCTCCCTCCTGTCTCAGGGTCACCCACACTGTCCCCAGGGGACAGTCCTCCTGCAAAGCCGGAGAGAGGGGGAAACCTGCCGCACTCTCCAGGTAGGCCTGGCTGGATCCTGATGCTTCTTGTTGACAGCCACCAGCCTGCCTCCCGGACACAGAAAGACAGACAGACAGACGCCACCTGCAGGCCGGACCATTCAGAGAGGCAGAGAGCAAAGGTAGGAACCCCCACCCCACCCCCGCCCCTGCGAGGGGAGCGAGGCTAGTGAGGCACAAAGAGGAGCTGACGTCCAGGATCGGGGCAGGGCAGACTATGCCCGTGTATTGGTGCAGACCGGACTCCCCCCACGGGCCCAGCTGGAGTCAGGTGGCGGGGGTTGGCAGGGGAAGTCAGGCCGAGAGCAGGGAGCCCCCTCTGATTTCGGAACTCTTAGAGGCCTAATACCCCTCTCTGGTCTCCAACTGTGCTTTTATTCTTTGAACAAAAGAATTACAAGTTGCCTGGAGACAGAAACCATTTGCCCTTTGAAATGCAATACCCTAAGCTTGCTTAGCTGAAGCAGCATTGTTCTCTGCTTGGGTCTCTAGTTGGTTTTAGGGTGGGACAGAGGATGGAGAGGCGAGCCTGCCCTGGGCCACGTCCAGCCCTCTGCTCCAGCCCAGAGCATCCTGGTCTCTTCTTAGAGCCTTTGTTGGGACTGAGAAGGCAGAAGAGAACTGTCATCTTGTCCCTGGGCTTAACCCATTAGCCCTTACTCAGGTAGTCTCTTTAGACCGTGAATAAAGGATCCGGCTTCTTCCTGAAGGGCTGAGGACAACAGGAAAGAGAGAAGGATGTCCAGCAGATCCTTCAGAGTAGAGGGGCAGCGGCCTGGGAGCTCCCGTGCCTGAGGACAGTCTCAGGAGTTTATAAACGTTCTGTCTTCCCGTTGAGATAATCTCACTCCCGGCCCAGCTCCTCTGTGATAATGCTGACGGGGGCCTCTTCTGACTCCCTTGATCTGTCCACTGATTGGTAGATGTTTAGGGGCTGTGATGGGTCGGCTGGTGTCCCCACAAAGCATGTCCACCGAGCACCTCAGAAGGCGACCTCATTTGGAAGTAAGTAGGGTCTTTGCAGATGTCATTACTAAGGTTGGGCTTCCCTGGGGGCTCAGCTGGTGAAGAATCCACCTGCAATGCGGGAGACCTGGGTTCAATCCCTGGGTTGGGAAGATCCCCTGGAGAAGGGAATGGCTACCCAACTCCAGTATTCTGGCCTGGAGAATTCCATGGACTCCATGGGGTCACAAAGAGTCAGAGAGGACTGAGCGACTTTCACTTCACTTATTAAGGTTAGAGTTGAGATCAGCTGAATCACAGGAGGCGCCAGTCCGGTGAGCGTGTCCTTACAAGAGGGACTGTCCACCCTTGAGACAGGGGGCCTCGCTTCCAGGCCAGGAACACCTCAGCGTGGGATCATGCAGGCCCTCATCCACCTGTTCTCTTCCCGGGCCCCGTGAGGGCCAGGATATCCCTAAGCCCATCCTCCTGCTCTTGGTGGACTGTGCCTCGAGCACACCCCAAGTGCCAGCCAACAGTGTACCCCAGCCTAGCAGTCAGCAAACTGGCCCATCCCAGAAGACCTAAGGATAGGGCAAGGTTGTCAGTTGCCAGCATCCTTTCCAAAGTCTTCACCAACTGAATACCTCTAAAAGCAAGGCTGAAAATTACTCTGCAGCCCTTCACTTCACGAAGCATTTAGACTTCCTTGTTTTAATGAATTTATATGAAAATCTGGTCCTCCAAATCTGTGCACCCGCCTAAAATAGTAGTTCCGATCTCAGTGTGTTTTTCCCAGTGTCGCCCCTTTGACACTAGCGATATTCTAAGCTTCACGAATCCCTTTAGTAACATGACATTCAACAGCTAGGTGGGATGTGTGGAACCCACCGCCACGCCTGACACAAAATCAGCTCGTGAGAGGTTTTTCTTGTTGAGAGAGATGCAGTAAGGTGTGGTGTTCTCTTGTCTCTGCAGTTAACGCAGCACAGTTCTGACTAACCACCTGGAGTTAGCAGAGATTTCCCAGGTTCAAGGGCACAGTCCCCAACAAGACTGCCCCCACTTTAGACACCAGCCCCGCTTTGGTCTCCAGCTCACCCACAATTGAGACCAACTGGCCACAAACCTGGAAGGCTTTCCCAACCCCCATCAGTCTCAACAATTTGCTGGCGTGTCCCACAGGGCTTAGGTAAGGGCTGTCCTGGTTTTTGTCATTATTTATTTGCTAAGTTGTGTCCAACTCTTTCGCGACCCCATGAACTGCAGCCCTCTAGGCTCCTCTGTCCATGGGATTTCCCAGGCAAGAGTACTGGAGTGGGCTGCCATTTCCTTCTCCAGGGGATCTTCCTGACCCAGGGATCAAATCCGGGTCACCTGTGTTGGCAGGCAGGTTCTTTTACCACTAGGGAAGCCCATCCTTCTGGTTACAGTTTTATTACAAAGGGTGCGGGTCAGGACCAGCCAAATGAAGAGGCTCCAGGGCGAGGTTCTGGGAGGGTCTTCTGTGCCCTCTTGCCATAAAACCTGAATGTGTCACCCTCCTGCATACCCAAGGATTCAATGAGGAAGCTCCCCCAGGCGTCAGGGGCCAGAGCTTTTATTGGGGTTTCATTGTAAGCATGACGAGTTGAGTCACTGGCCACGTGTCACCACCCATCCCCAAAGTGTGGGCTGTGCCTGGCTCCATTCTTGCTGCTGTAACAAAATACAGACTATATACATGTAAACTGTGAGTCTACATTTTGTTATAGACTGGTGGCTGTAGCAACAATCTATAACACCATGCACTGGGTGGCTTGGAAACAACAAACATTTACTTCTCACAGTTCCGGAGACTGTAAAGTGTGGGATCATGTCACCAGGCGATTCAGTGTCTGCTGAAAGCTCACTTCCTGGTTCACAGATGGCCATCTTTTCACGGTGTCCTCATGCGGCCAGGGGGCCTAGTATGCTCCCTGGGGCCTCTTGTATAATGGCACAGGCCCATTCACGAGATCTCTACCCTCCTGACCTGATCACCGCCCAAGGGGCCCATCTCCTAATACCATCAGGTTGGGGGTTAGAATTTCAACATGTGAAGTTGAGGGAAACACAAACATTCAGATCGAAACATGTCGACCACCTGGCTCAAGGACCCAGCCTGCTAGTCATCGGGTTGGTCTCTGTGGCATGGCCACCCCCATCGTAAACTTAGGCGTGACCCTAGGAGTCCCTGAGAAATAACAGGCACTCCTATCATTCAGGACGTTCCAAGATTTCTAAGCTCCCTCCCAGGAACCAGTTACATCCTTTATTACAGAGTTCAGATCTCGAGTGATTGTTTTAGTAGGAGGTGCAATTGAACACAACACCTGAGTTCTCAAGTTCTGATGGCCGCTCTCTAAATGTGTCCGAATTGAGGACTCCCTGGCAGCCCAGTGGTTAAGACTGCCTTCCGCTGCAGGGGCTCCAGGTTCCACGGCTGGTTGGGGAGCTAAAATCCGGCATGCCTCTCAGCCGGAATAGCAAAACATAAAGCAAAAGCAATATTCTAACAAATTTGACTAAGATTTTAAAGACTGGCCCAGAGCACAACAACAACAACAACACCACCAAAAAAACACCTTTTTAAAACCTAAAAAAAAAGCATCTAAATTAATCCCATCATCCCATGTGGCAGCACCTTCCAAGAAACAAACTATCAAAAGATACCCTGACCTTTGCTTGTGACTTTCAAAGAATGTCACACACGGATTCGTCTTCATTTACCTTCTCCTATCTTTTGGCTTCAATGCCTCCTCCCCAAGAGCTGTTCTGGCTCCTCTGAAAGTGTTGGAAGTGTTAGTCACTCAGTTTGTTGTCTCTTTGCAACCCCATGGACTGTAGCCCGCCGGGTTCCTCTGTCCATGGGATTCTCCAGGCAAGAATACTGGAGCAGGTTGCCATTTCCTCCTCCAGGGGATCTTCCCGACCCAGGAATCAAACCTGGGTCTCCTGCATCGAAGGCAGACTTGTTTTTTTTTACCATCTGAGGCACCAGGGAAGCTCCTCTTTCCATGCCTAACTCCAAGAATTCCGCCCTAACCCAGGCCCCAGTAGCACTGTTTCCTCCCCTCCCCCAGGAAGTAAACTGAGCTACCAAAGACCGTGCCTGTAATTTCATGAATGAAAGGAAGAAAGCGGTGGTGGTTATTTAATGTGTCCGCTTGACTGGCTGAGCGATCCCCAGATTAAACACCCGTCCTGGGTGTTCCTGGGTGAGATTAGCACTTGGATTCAGTCAAGACGATGATCCTCCCCAAGGCAGGCGGGCCTCATCCAGTCCACTGAGGCCTGAACAGAACAAAAGACGAGGGAGGAGGGAACCACCTTTTTCAGTATGAATTTCCAAGTTTGAACCGAAAGGGCTGCTGCTGAGCTCTTGATTCCTAAGAACCAGACATCCCCTCCTCCCGCACTGCCTCCCTGGGCCCTCTAGATTTCAGGAGCAGTTCGTCTGAATTCCTGTTTCTAACCAACTCTGTTTCCGGAATGTCTCAGCAACCCAGTCGCCCACTACTTGGAATGGAGAGGGGAGCTCGTGTGTCTGCCAGGCCTGAGCATGAACCATAGCCTCCGGATGGAAGGTGGTGCTTCTAGACGTTCCCAGGTCACTCTCAGCTGACCTCACCTGCGGACAGGCGCAGTGGGGGGCACCCCGCCCTGCCCAGGGCCTCCTCTCTGACGCCCCCAGTCATTGACTTTCCAGCCATGTCTGCCTTGGGAGGAGGCCAACGCACAGAGCCCCTGTCTGGGGAGCCGTGGCTCAGAGGACGGACGGTAAGGTCCAGTCCAGCCTCCGGGACGCCCCGGGTGACCTTGGATGTGCTCCTGGACTTGCGGGCCCATTTCTCTGCCCACAAACCGGGGACAGGAGGGACTCCTTTGCTCAGGCGCCACGCAAGCTGCGTGAGAACCCCAGACATCAACCGCGCAGCGGAGGGGACGCCGCTGGGCGCCCTTCCCCCCCCCCCCCCCCCGGCCTTTTTAAGTTAATTTATTTATTATTTTTGGCCGCGCTGGGTCCTTGCTGCTGCTCTCGGACTTTCTCTAGCTGCGGCGCGCGGGGGCTCCCCTTGGTTGCCGGGCGCAGGCTTCTCACTACAGTGGCTTCTCCGGTTGCAGAGCAGAGGGTCACGGGCTCCCGTGCCCCAGTCCTTGCGGCTCAGCTTCCCCGAGGCATGTGGGGTCTTTCCGGATCACGGATTGATCCTGCGTCCCCTGCATTGGCAGCTGGGTTCCTAACCACTGGACCACAGGGAAGCCCNTCCTTGCGGCTCAGCTTCCCCGAGGCATGTGGGGTCTTTCCGGATCACGGATTGATCCTGCGTCCCCTGCATTGGCAGCTGGGTTCCTAACCACTGGACCACAGGGAAGCCCTCTGCCTCTTGCTTTTTCTTCAAGAAGTCTTTCTCAAGGCCGACTCCATCCCCCCCGCCCCCACCTAGAGTGTCAGCTTGCAGAGCCACAGACAGCCCTCCAAGCCCAGGGTCCCAGTGGGGTGAGCCCAGCCCCCTGTCATTGGTGACCGTGTTCCCATCCCCAGCTCAGGGCAAGGCAGCAGAGATAAACCCTACTCCTGTCTTTGGGGGGCAGAGGGAGCGTGGTGAAAGGGTCCCCAGTCCCTCTGGTTTTCTGGATCTTACAAGCCATCCTTGTTGCTTAACTGCCAAACGAGGGAGGAGAAACAAACGATGCTTCTTCTCTTATCCCAGCTTCCCAGAGCCCCGTGCTGGGCATTCTGAGTGGAAAGCAGACCCTGTGGCCTGCCCTGCCGGGATCAATTTGACAGAACCCCATGGAGTGTGAGAAACCAATACGGCCCATTCAACTTGAAAGCTCGTCTTATTCAACTGTGTCCATTTTTTCCCCAAGAAATTTCACACCTTGACACAAATGAGAAGATCTTAAGAAAGAATAATTTAATGTTAGGTAGCACTTCCAACCGCGATCAGGTATGTGGAAATGTTCCCTCTTCTCTGTGGCCAGTGGCCTCCTGAGATACATGAAAGGAAGCCCACTCCCCCAAAAGGGTGTCCCTCCCATGACAGTAAAGCCCCAAACTGGCTCATCTCACAACAACCTTGTACATCTGATGGTGAAGGCAGGTCAACAAGAATGGTACCTAAGCTGCAATTTAGCTGGTATTACCTGGGTGACCTCAGAAGGTAAAGAATCTGCCTGCATTGCAGGAGACCCAGGTTCAATGCGTGGGTTGAGAAGATACTCTGCAGAAGGGAATGGCAACCCACTCCAGTATTCTTGGAGAATTCCACGGACAGAGGAGCCTGGTGGGCTCCCTTCCATGGGGTCTCAAAGAGTCGTACACGACTGAGCAACTATCACACACTTGGCATACAGTGGATGCCTAATAAATGTTGGATGGGTGGATGGATAAGTGAATGAGTTATTCAACAGTCCCATCACAAGCCAACATTCATTAAAACCTTGCCATAACTATCTAGACACGGAAGAGTTGTTTATAGAAAAGCAAGAACCAAATTTGCAAACCCTCCTGTTGGCTTCACAATAATTCATGCTCATCTGCGTCTAATAAAATATGGAAGCAATTTTACAGGAACATTTTGCGGTTTAGCGATTCATTTAACTATTTCCTCCGGGGGCAAGTCATATATTCTCATCCAGATGTGTGGGGAATTCCGTGAATAAATCTGCAAATATCAAGATGAGGTGCTCCCCACCCCCACCTCAGGCAGCCCGAGGCTGGTTAATGGGGGCACAAAAGTGGAGACCGACCAAAGTCATTCTGGCCTCTGCTCCCAGTCATGGCCCCGAGGCTCCCCATGTCTGACCCCCTGCTGCGGGGACCTGAACCAGCTAAAGGGACTGAGTGCCTGAGTCACTTTCTTCATGGAACTTTCCTCCATCAAGTCCAGGCCCGGCACCTGGCAGGACCTCAGAGATGAGATGCTCCCCACCCCACGAGCCCCACCTCGAGAACAGTAAGGGGGCACTCAGGAGCCACCGCTGCTGCCACTGTCCCCACGGACCCCACCCTTCAGCCGCACCCCAGCTCCTTGCAGGTTCAGGAGCCGATGAATACGAATGAGCACACCTGCCCGGAGCCGCCTGGCGTTCCATCCTCCTCCTGATTTTCTGGGTCACCGATTTTTAATTAAACTTCTAATTTTGAGATAGTTGTAGAGTCTTGCACAGTTAAGAAATGTTACGGAAAGATCCCTAAGCCCCCTATACTCAATACTTCCTCCCCTGCCCCCGTCCCCCATGGTAATAGCTTGCAAAACGGCAGTATGATATTGAGTCACCTTTTTTTTTTCCAAATGTTATCTTTCTTTCTCCCCCCCAAGCTGCCATTTCGATATTTTTACTTTGATATTTGTATTTATTTATTTATCTTTGGCTGTGCCGGGTTGCTGTGTGAGGGCTTTTCTCTAGTTAAGCGAGTGGGGGCTGCTCTCTAGCGTGGGGCTTGGGCCTCTCTCGCTGGGGCATCAGGGCTTCAGTCGCTGTGGCTCGCAAGTTCCAGAGCACAGACTCAGTAGTCCTGGTGCCTGGGCTGAGCTGTCCTGAGGCGTGTCTGTTTCCTAATGTGTGGTGAGAAGTGTGAAAGTGAAAGTCGCTCAGTCGTGTCCAACTCTTTGCGACCCCATGGACCATACAGTCCATGGAAGTCTCCAGGCCAGAATACTGGAGTGGGTAGCCTTTCCCTTCTCCAGGGGATCGTCCCAACCCAGGGATTGAACCCAGGTCTCCCGCCTTGCAGGCGGATTCTTTACCAGCTGAGCCCCCAGGGAAGCCTGGTAAGAAGTATATTTTCACCAAATGGAGACTCTTGGCCCCCCGTTCCCACTCCCAAACCTGCTGGACCTCACCACCAGTGTCTTCCCTTTTGATAAAGGGCACAGTGTGCACAGACCCAAGCTCAAGGTGTCTCGCCCTCCTCCTTAAATTTTTCCACTCTTTCTTTTTTGGCCAAGGAAGTCCTGAACCCACCCACTTTTCACTCTCCACCCCAGTGACCCTGGCAGCAGCCACTGTCAGTACTCTTCAGCAGAACCAGCTACAGAATTTCCAGGGCCCAGGGAAAAATGAATGTACAGAGCCCCGTGTTCAAAAGCGATTAAGAATTCCAATAGGGCGGCGGCACAGCATCACACCCAGCTCAGGGCACTGGGCCCACACCCACAGAGCGCCCCCTGCCCTTCAGCCAGAGACCACAGGAGCGCAGCGGTGGATGGACCAGGTTGGCCTTCCTGATCCGAGGCAGCAAGGCTGGACACACCAGGGGAACCTCCGGGGCATCTCAGTCAGGACCCATCACCTCACAGGACTTGGGCTTCTGGTGTGTGATCTGGGGGAGGGTCCGGGGAAGCAAGGCTTCACCCTGGATTGGATGCTGTCAGGAGTCAGGGTGATGCTATGTTTGGGTATCTCAATAATTCTTATCTAGAATGTGAGAAGGATGGGCAGAAGCTAGAATTGTGATTGGTTAAAACAGAGAGAGCGTCACATAAGCTGGGATGGGGGATGTTTGGTTGATCTTACAGTTTGGATGGTGTCCATGTTTTGTCTATTTCGGACGTGATTTCGGAAGGGTCTTGCTGCCGTCTCGACCCATCTTGGTCACAGAGGGGCCTTGTCTGAGGTTGGTGATCCATGAAATTGTTTATGTCCAACAGGAAAATGCCTTTTCTCCTGCTCGCCCATCACCCCTGGCCATGCTGCCTGCAAAAGCCACCCCCCCACCCCCGTAACTTTCCTCCCCATCTTTGTGCTCTTTTCCACACAGCAGCCAGCATGACCCTGTTAAACCAGAAGTCAGGTCGTATAGCTCCCCTCTGCATAGATGTCCAGTGGCCTCTGCATGAATTGAATTGTGTCCAAGGGTTTCCCAGGTGGCTCAGTGGTAGAGAATCCACCTGACAAAGGCAGGAGACACAGAAAATGCAGGTTCGAACCCTGGGTTGGGAAAATCCCCTGGAGGAGGAAATGGTAACCCATTCCAGTATTCTTGCCAGGGTAATTCCATGGACAGAGGAGCCTGGTGGGTGGCAGCACATAGGGTTGCAAAGAGTCGGACATGACTGAGCACACACCCCTAACCCTGGGTGTCTGTGAGTGCTAACTTAGTTGGAAATAGGGTCTTGCAGGCGTAATTAGGTTAAAGATCTCAAGACGCTACCACTCTGGATTCAGATTGTAACTCCAATGACCAGTGCCCTTACACAAAGTGGACACAGAGATGCACCCAAGACCAGGTGAAGGTGGAGACTGAGATGGGAAGGAGGCACCTCAGCCAAGGAACCCTGGGGCCCGCCAGAAGCTGGAACAGGCAGGGAAGGACCCCCCGCTGGATTCTGCAGAGAGACCGTGGCCAGTATCCTGATTTTGGACTTCCGGCCTCCAGAACTGTGAGAGAACACATTCCTGTCTTAAATCACCAAGTTTTGTGGTACTTTGTTGCTGCAGCCCAAAGAAATCAGTTGTTGTTGTTGTTTAGACACTAAATCATGTCCGACTCTTTTGCGACCCCATAGGCTGTAGCCCACCAGGCTCCTCGGATCATAGGATTTCCCAGGCAAGAATACTGGAGTGGGGGATTTTCTTCTCCAGGGGATCTTCCCAACCCAGGGATCGAACCCACGTCACCTGCATTGTCAGGAGGGTTCTCTACTGCTGAGCCACCAGGCAGGCCAAGGAAGTGAGTTCAGTCTCCTATTGCAGTTAGAAAAAACCCTAATCCCTTCCCAGGACCAGCAGCCCCCATGGGACCTGCTTCTCGCAACCTCTTTCACACATAACTTCCCCCAGTCCCCGCTGGGCTCCAGCCGCATCCTCCTGACTTTTCCCCATCGCACCAGCCCTTGGCATGTGCTGTGCCCACTGCCTGGAATCCAACGCTCTGATCTTTGCACGGCTGGTCTCCATGCAGATACCCCCTCCCCTTAACTTCCTTTGTTAAAATAATGCTCCCCGACACTTACCAGTTCACGTGTCTGTTGTTTATCTCCATCCCCACGTGAAGGCTCCATGGGGTCAGGGACACCCCTGGTCTCCCAGCTTCCTTACTGAACAAACATACACACCATGTTTACTGTATGCCAGGCACTCAGCCAAATGCTTTACAGATATTACCTCCTTTAACCTTTACAGATGAGGAAACTGCGGCACGGAGAGTTTAAGTCACTTGCCCAGGGTCACACAGCTTGTCAGCGGTGGAGGCCTCCAGAGTCAGTGAGTCTAAACCCTCTGCTCAACCCAGAAGACTTCAGACAACGTCTGCCAGGTGAGTGGATGTCCCGTGAAGGAGCTCCAGCGACATCCCAAGTGGGAGGGGGGATCCATGCCAGGACCTCACCCACCGCTCCCACCAGGGGTGAGAAGCGCAGTGCTGAGGAGGGTTCTGGAACAGCTCCAAGCCCCCTGACCCGGATGTGGGCTGCTCCCAGGGTGTCAGACTCCCTCTGTCCCCACGCCCCCTCACCCCCATCTCTGCAAAGTGCCCTCTGCCCACCTCTCCACCCACCTGGGCCCTGAGCTCCTAGGGGAGGGGGGTCTGGTGTTCACCAGCGGGTCCTGAGCCAGGCCCCTCCAAACCCTCCGACTCCCGCTCCAGCGGACCCAGCCCAGTGCTCCCTGGAGCTGCCCCAGCCCCCAGGCCCCGGCGGGTCACCCAGACGGGGCGCAGCCCACCTTCCTTCAGCCACAGCGCCTGGGGCTGCCAGCCTGGGGGCGGGGGTGTCGGCTTCTCTGTGCTCAAGCACTTTCTGGTGTGTTTTATGTGATATTAGCACTTCAGAGCATCGGTCAACACTCCTAGGAAGCAGAAAGGAAGTGGGCGGATGGAGAAACACATTTCGTAAAAAAGGGGAGGGAGTGGTTGAGGGAAGCATCCTCAGAAAGGGGGACGTGAGGCCCGCTGGGAAGAAGGTGGGGGTGGGCGCGGCTAGAGTGGGCGAGACAGGAAGCTCCGCCTGCACCTTAAGCAAGCAGGGGTCCCGGCGAGAAGAGAAACTGCCCCCCAGGCCCGGCCGGCGCCTGCGGGCCCTCAGCGACCCTTCCGGCTGGAGGCCTCACAGTCAGCCCGCTTTATGATTCAGTGGTGAGTTTTTATTTTCAGGTTAAAAAAAAAAAAGAATAACTATCTGGTTCTTTCAGCAACTCATTTTTCTCAGCGTTTCTCTCGGCCCTCGAAGGCTGTAAACAGAGTTTGTGGCTGCCCTGGGT